CTTCCGACAACAAGTTACCGTCTAGCGCATCGCCGAAGAACATCCTTTGGGATTTCAGGGACTTAGGTGAGTACATGTTTGTGCTTATCGTACTATCGTACGAGAAAATGACTTCCTTGAGCCGCGCCGTCGTCTCCCCCCACCAGTGTCGACGACGAGGACTACGTCGAGGCTGTACACCACTGGCCTTTCGCTCGACGCATATTTGGCGACCTATTGGACGACAGGGACTTCCCTGCCTTGTCCGACATTTTAATTCAGGTACGTGAGCGCTTTGACATGAGGGAGACCTCGCTAACTGTTAATAGACACCTGATTTTGAGCCAGAAGATTGGGTTCTCCTCCAGACGAAGTTGAGGGACAAACCGGAGATTCTTCGTCATTTCTGGTGAGTACTAGCTACGATCTCTACGGAAGTTAGAATATCTTATAACAGGTCAAATACTCAGGTTCCGTTACGATCGAGCGATGAAGACGGTGGTGTCCGGTTCCCCCAGCGGCCTGCACCAGGACGCCCTGCAAGGTTGCGTTCATAACATAGTAGAGGAGACCATCAAACCAGTTACAGTTCAGTTCCCGCTGCCCGCCGGCATGTTGGTGACGGAGAACGCGGCGAAGATGTTGGTTAGGCAGGACCACATAGAGATTCCGGACTGTATGGTAGGGCTGTCTTACCACGCCAAGCGCAAGGACCTCAGTGTCAGTTTGGGCGCTGACTGTGCAGTCGTCGAGTCTGCGAGAACGGAGAGTGTTCCGCACGTACTCGCCAAGGTGAGCACGACCTATAGCCTAACATTCTGTTAACCTTAACACATTTTTCTTTAGGTTACTGACAACATGCCAGTCCCGCTGCTTGAGCCAGAAGTGGGTGTGGGACGAACCTACGTGGAGCAAATGGCGTCAGAGGCTGGATCGGAGGGCGACGAGTCGGAGGCTGGATCAGCGGGCAACGACGTGGAGGCGGGATCAGCCGGCCACGAGGGGGAGGCCGGATCAGAGGGCGACGCGTCAGAGGAAGGGGTGCCGATGGAGACGGACGACGACGACGACGACGACGGGTCACGGACGCAGGCGGGCCCAGATAACGAGCAGGAAGGATCGTCTCCGCTCACCCCTCTATCGCCTCTCTCACCGAGCTACATCCCGTCAAACCCTCCTCTTCCCCCTCCCTTGCCACCGCTTCCTCCAGACCCGACCCGGAAGATCTCTTCCGTGGTGTTCGTCGTCATTTCCACGCAGGAGAAGGTCGTCAAAACCCCGCCACCCGACATAGACATCAGCAAGCCGGTATGGGTTGAGCTCCCCTGTCCGGACGACGAATGCATCACGGGCGGCCACGCTTACGGCGGTAAAATATACGTGGGGGAGATCCGCGCGTATATGTGGGTCTTCCAAGGTGCTGAGGATCACGCGTATCTTGTGGAGCATTGGAAAGACAATATTGAAGCCTGGGTACGCAGCGGAAAGGCTCTGGTAAGTACAGCCCTCTTATCCGGGACTGATTATACTAAATTGATATCAGCTTCTGCGGAGGAAGTACGCGACTCCTGAGCAGAAGGCTGCACTCAGGCAGTGGGAAGATCGCTGGCGCGACTGCATGCTGTCAGTGCGACAGAAAGTTCTCAACAGGATCATTGTAGGCAACGTCACCCAATGCGTCAACGATGCCGAAATAGCCGCGTACCAACAGAAGTTCAACCCGCCGCCAAATTTGAGCTTGCCTCATATCAAAGGCCCTGTAGGGATTGTACGAAGGCAAGTCTACCGTGGAAGCTGGAACATGGCAGCAGAAAGGCGAGCAAAGATGACGAACGCCTCGACCTCGTACGAAGACGACGGCCTTCCTGGCACCGTGGGCGAAGCGTTCGTTGTGGGGAAGAACCTCAAGCGAGCGCTGGACGACGGCGACTTTGAAGAAGCTGTGTCAGCACTCAAAAGACCTCACCTCGAAGACGCTCTCGCGAACAAGAAGAGCTCGCTGACGGATTCGGATTACTTAGGCTCCGGTGACGGTATGAGCGACCCCATATCGAGCGACCCCATCGCAGATCCTACGTACCGTCCGGAAGCAGACGACGGCTCGTATTCGCAGGACAGCAACCACGGGGAATCGTCGCAGGACGGTTCGGCATCCCAAGACAGCTCTTCGCAGAACGGTTCAGCGTCCCAGGACAGCTCTTCGCAGGACGGCGAGGCGTCCAGAGAAGACGAGTCTTCGCAGGAAGATGAGTCTTCGCAGGAAGATGAGTCGTCCCAGGACGGCGGCTCATCACAGGACGGTGGCTCATCGCAGGACAGTCAGGAAGACTGACCGAGTTGCGCGCGTTAGGTGTGAGCGGGCTACTCGTTGCTAGTCGCTGAAACCAGGTTCCGGCTAGACGTCTTCATTCGTGTTTTGTCTCGTTCGTTTTGTTACGCTATCGTCGCTACAATCATCGCTTCCCGTACGGCTACCTATGCTACTCGTCGTTATCTACTGTCACGCAAAACTCTCCCGTGTCCGCGTGTGTACGTATCTTTGAGGTCTATTCACTACTACAGCTCGGAGGTTACGCTGTCCGAGCTCAGGCCACATCACGAGGGGCGTCCGAAATTAGGAAGCGCCCGGTACCAAGGTGGCGGGACTTAGTTGACGCCTCCGTAGTCTCGAGTCAAGCTTCATGCAACTCACTCCGGAGGAACAAACGGATCTAACGGAGCTGTTGCTGCAAACCCCTAACCTCAACGCGCGACTTACGTCCTTGCTGCACAGACTTCCGGGCCCACACCGCGTTGAGCGACTTAACGACAACCAGCAAAGACAGTCAAGTCTTTACGCGCAGCCTGACATTGATCCGACGACTGGTGAGCTGAAATATATCGTTGTGCTGTTCACTAAACCAATGATTTTGACAGTGAATCTGGAGAACACATCTTACTGTACGGACAACAACACTGAGATTGATCCCGCCCACACAGGAGGTACGTGTCACTCTCGCACTTTACTACACACTCAGTGTGCGCTAACAGACGATATTAGCAGACGAATCTCTGACCGGCGGCACTATTGCTACTGGCCCCCAGCGGCAAACACGGGCCTCTCGACGTGCCCGCGAGCAAGCTCACCCCTACGCCCCTCAGCCAGTTGCAAGAACTGTTGCTGCAAACCGGTTTGAAAAGCCAGGCGGTGACGAACGCGCTCGAGGACTGCTCCGACAGCGACCACAGCAGCGCCTCCCTCCTTGCCCTCGAGGCGGGATACAGTTCCTCCCGCCTAACGTTGCAATGGAGTCCCACGCCTCGACGGAGTCCGAGGAGGCACCGACGCAGCAGTGGCAAAACACCTCAGAGCCAAGTCTTACCACCGGTGCCGCTGTTCACAAGTATACGTCTCTGCTTACCTCGAATCTCAACGATGCGAAGCTCCTTGACGTGTGCAAAGCGGTACAGGCAGACGTGATGCAGCTGCAGGGGTCGCCTGTTCGCCAGGATGAATCGCTACGCTCTCTGGTAGCCCGGTGCGCGCACAGCCTCAAGCTGGACGCGGCAGCGAGTTTCTGGCTGATCATCAGCCACATTAGGCTGGCCTTTAGAGTGGCAAGGTACGTCACCTTTACGGTATCTTCTCCTCGTGTTGACTGGCTCTGGTGTGAATAGCATACTTGAATCTGATGATGGCCAATCGGACGAAGGCAAGCTCACGGTGGCTGGAATTTGGCGCAGAGAATTCGAAGGCGTTGAGGGTGCGCCAGAAAAGAGAACATTTCAGGACTGGAATACTACTGGTGTGAAGTTTGCGCGACTCGCGGGAGGTGGTAAGTGTAGCTCGATTCTGTTCACAGACTAGATACTTGTCTTAAACTTCGCGCACAGGTTCTATCTATATGCTGGTGCTAGTAGCCGCTCAGAATCTCAGGGTACCTCTGGCTACCGCCAACGCACACATTGCGCAAGATTTCGGTAACCTCCTGAGGTGGCCGGACGGTAAGCTGATCATGTTCTTCATGCTGGACTGTTCTAAGACAATGTTCAGATTCGAGAACTGGACGGCTCGTAAAAAACATCATAATTCCCGCAGTAGCCCGTCTGCGAGAACAGTGTCCAATTAACCTCATCAGTATTCTGCCGCCAGCTCCCCAAGCTGGAGCGTCAAGATTGTTTCTTCCATCGGCTCTATGCGGTCATCTTGAGGCGTCGGATCGTGTATTTGACTCCTGGAAACTGAAGTGAGTATCGAGCTCTCTATTGCACTGATGTCATCACGGCATACTAATCCTTCACAGCTCGTTTTCTCTGGTGCCAAGGAACAGAGGCGTCTGGATATCGTGCTACGATGATGAGTGCGACACGAGCAACACGTTCACATATCCGTCAACCGACGAACTTGGCTCGTTATCACCGCTGACCCCAATCGACTCCCCCGTCCCTCAGGAGTTCGACTTACCAGACCACAGGGTCGATTCCCCGCTCAGGCTATCTCCCGTCCCTCCGCAGTTAGAAGAAATCGTGGTTCGCATCCAGTATGACGAGCAGCGGGAGGATAACCAGCGCTATCCAGGACCGCGTGGCGACAGAGAGAAGAATATTGTCTGGACAGAACGAGCTCGTCAACATGCGTCTAACTGCGTTCAACCGGCAAGCTTTGAGGGTCTCCAGACTGAGGTATGCGGTGAATTGATTCTCAATTCCGTATCAAACTTGAACCCTACTTTTACAGCTCGATTGTTTGTACTCTGAAGGAAAGAGAATCAGGGACGACTCATACGTGCGCGTACCCTTAGAACTTGTAAGGTCAGTAGTAGTTCTAGTATTGCCCTAGTTACCTGTGATGCTGCAATTACTCACGAGGTACAACTCACAGAGACGTGCTGACATTCAGAGGCGCAAACAACAGTCTCGTAGTGTCGATCTGCACGTCGATGTCGGAAGCTATGGCAGCTGATCTGACGGAGCGGCTGGTCGTGTGCTTCGATACCGATCCTTTGAACGACGTGGACACTGCGACGCAAACACAGCACGACTTTGAAGCTATTCATTTCTCGTGGTACAACCGCCACGCCACAAAGGTCTGAATACTTGTGCCGTGCTTGACGTTCACTAACGATGCCGTCTGTATAGGGCCACGATGCGCCCTCGGACGTACCGCCACAAATGATGAGAAAGTCGGGACGCTCTAGGACCAACTACCGTCAAATGATACCGTATCCGTCCAAAGATATGGTGGTCCATGAGCCCATCTATCAGGCAATGGAGCGCATTCTGGGCGATGTGTTCAGCTGGATAGATACTAAGGTAAACTCAATTTCCGTATTCTACTGGTACTGTGAACGTGTTAATCTAGTACGAGTAGGTGCAGATGATCCTTCCAGGCGTATACCGTCATCTCGAGGCAACGTCCAGCATCCTCCCTAACCACCAGCAGTCGCTGGTCAACCCGTTCGTGGGTTTGGTCATCAACGTCAACGTCGCAACCTACGCCCACAGAGACAGCAAGGACGACACTGTCTGTGTCGTCCTTGCTGTTGGCAATTTCGAGGGCGGCGAGTTGTACCTGCACGAAGCAGGCCTGGTCATACCGCTGCGTCATGGCCATTTCGTCATTTTTCCTTCATGCAAACTCACACATTTTAATCTACATTACAAGGGGCGACGGGCTTCAATAGTGCTACATACGGACCGAGAGATGTTACGCTGGGCAGAAAGCGATAGGAACGGCTGGGCTTCCAATGTCTATTTCCACTAACCTAGAAGTAACGAGTGTTGTTGACATGTAGAGTCAGATAGTTAAGTAAATGAACGTGTGTTTCTTTCTTAAAAGACATGCTGGTCTTGCGGCAATAAACTCAACTCACGGACAACGTCGTACTCCCGTGATCTTGCGCGGACCTCCTTGGGCAACGGCTTACCGCAACTCGGCGCCCGATTGCTCGGCGCCGCGTCGTGACTTCAACGTTCGCACTTTCCCTCCTCTGCTCGCTGGGCTTGCTCATCTCTCTCTGATCTTGGACCGGCACCATGTCTCCGCGAACTCGCTCCGCCGACTCGAAGAAACTCACCGCTCAGGCGAAAGCGACAGGATCGCGGGCTCGAAAGACCAACAAGGTAACCAAGACGCCAAATTCGAGCAAGGCGGCTTCCAAATCAGGCGGCGAGGCCCCGCTGTCCGCGAAGGAGCAGAAGCAACTCGAGCTGTTGCTCCGGAGACAGTCAGTTCAGAAAAAGAGTAAGGATGAGGAACATCAGGCGGGTGAGTGCGTTCTGCACGGCTGTTGAAAATAATTGATGAACGAATCTATACTCAGGGGTGCGCAAGAGGACGGCTGAGATGACTCGCAAAGAACAAGGATCGGAGGATGAACATGCATCAGGAAAAATCAATATGTCTTTTTCCTACATATTCAGTCATAATAGGTGCATTGAAGACAAAAAGCATGCTGAAGAGCCTAAAGACCAATTTACACAAGTCCCCCTTTCAATTCTGCAAAAGAAGTTCCACCAATCTTGTTTAAGCATGCTTTAGTGCGATGAGGATGTGTAATGTAGCACCATTTTGCTGTACTTATTGTTGCTTTTTGTCACTGATTCTGTCTTCATGTGACTCAAATCCATTCGCAAATATGCACCTTGTGCATTAGGCATGATCCACACGACGATGATATTGGTACAACAATGTTCAGTACTACTTATACAACATGACAACAACACCGAGATGACAAGCCACGACTCGGAGCAACTATACATACCACTAAGACAACATTGATGGCAGAGCGACCGACTCGGACCGACCGACCGACACACCCTTGAACGCAGTACCATATACTACACTTGATGGTCAATAGTAGAGCGAGATGATTGAATGAGCAAATGCTTCAATTCTGTAGATGACTGATTGACTTACCATCGACCTACTCAGGCCCCGCCGTTCGTGGATGCTCCACTGCCACGGTCTGGAAAATGTTGAATGGGATCATGTAGGTGGCAAGTGACGACTGAACACGCACCTTCTCCAGACCCGCGGAGTTCATCGATCTCAGTCTGAACCCCTTCACCGCCTTCGCCAGAGAGTCCGGCGCCCCCTTCGTCCTCACTGTGGCCCTGTCCACCCGCTTCACCGCCCTCGCTGCCGTCAGAGTCGCGCCGTTGGTGGTTCTGTGACTTCGAAGTCGACGCGCCTGCACCGCGAGTCTTCCTCGATGGACTGGGTGGATTCTTCGCAGCCTGCGAAGAATTCGGTGTCTTCGCGCTTTTCGATGAGCCGGACGGCTTGCCCGCGGTCTTCGATGATGTGGTGGATTTATTGCCCTTCTTCGCGGTGCTCGACGGCGGCTTGGTCGCAGCCTTCGATGTGCCGGGCTTGTCGCTGCTGCTCTGCGCCTTTGATGCACGCAACTGGAGCAAAGGGATGAAGCTGCCCGGCTGCTCATCGCTGTCCGTCACTCCCTCGAGCGCGTTGGGGCCAGCGTTGAGACGATTGCTGTATGTGTGGTCAGTAACAATTTCCGTCTAGATTCAAAACTTACCTGATGTGCTTCCATATGAGCTCTCGCGTCTCTTCGAGGTACTCGCTGGCACTGTCTTCCAGAGTCTCTAGGATGGCCATCGTGCCATCCCACCTATGGTTGGTGAGCTTTCACCATTTGCAATAGAACTTAAGAATTACTTACTTGGCCGCGAAAAGCTTGCCGGAGAAAAATATGGACTGGTTGTGCGACGTTACCTCCATCAGTGCTGCCTCGATCTAGTTTACAATTGTATGAGTAGCTTAACTTAGAGCAGGAACTCGACGAGGATGCGGATACGTACCGCGTTGCATGCGAGGGCGATGAGGTTGAAGGGCATCTTGCTGAACTCATCCAGGGCCGCATTGATGTTCGCATCGCCGCGTCCTGCCAGGCCGTAGTACTGGTAGATGAGCTCAGGGATGCATTCGTTTCGGAATGGCTCCGTGGGCTCGACCTTGGTAAGCTAGGATTGCAGTGAGCTCGCTCTGACGTGTTGCACCCTGTGTGAGCACGTACCTCTCGATCCAGCTTTTTCTTGCGATCGAAGTGGAACTCTACGCCCCCGAAGACGAAGTTCGCGATGTTGCGTGTCCCGGAACCGTCATTCACTTCCGTTGGGTGCGTCTCGAGAAGCCAAACGACGACCTCGGTCCTTTGAGGAACTGTCAGGCTGCCAAGCTTGAAGGTCTGCTCTATCACTTGCTTCGCCTTCCTCTTGAGCTCGTTCCGAGTCTGTGATGAGCAAGTCCAGACCTGGAAAGAATCAGAGCCTCCGACTTTCGTGAATTATAATGAGTGTGAGCTCACCACGGAGTAGGCCTTCGCTCTCAAAGCGGCTCGTTCCGAGTCCTCGTCACCATCCGAGCTCGCATCGCCATTCGCTTTCTTCTTGTCTTTCTGGGTGTGATCCGCTTCCTTCTTGTCTTTCTTCTTGTCGTCCTTCTTGTCGGCCAGCAGCCAAAACGCGGCCTTGATGTCGGCAGCATGGTTGCCAGTCCCTCGTCTGTCATAAGCGTCGCGAACACTGTCACGGATTAGTATATCCCTCCTTGGCAGCCGCTTGGACGCGACTGAAGCCTCCTTCGTCCACGCCGAGTTGAGCGCAATGCGTAGTCGCAGACAATTTTGCGCGGCCGAGACGAGAGTCCTGACTTTGGCTGGTAAGTCGGCGACCCTGGCGCGACTGCTGCTGTCTCGACCACTGCCCGTCGACTTGGCGAGAGCCGGCTTGCTTTGCGCCCTCGTCTCAGACACGACCTGCAGATAGTCAATGCGATGCTAATCACGACCAATAAACCAGAGAGGATACTCACTACCACATCGCCCTCGTCCTCGCCCTCATCGTCTCCGTCCTCCGACTCTTGAGACTCAGGCCCTACATCGTCGACGTCGTCCTCATCCTCGACCTGACTCCCATCGTCGCCTGCGTCATCGTCATAAGCATCATCGCTGCCTCCGCCATCGCTGTCTTCGTCTGATTTGGGGTCATGCTCGCTCTCGACCGAGTCATCCTTGCCTGTTGCTCGGGCCTTACCCTTGTCCTGACGATGTGAAACAGAGCTATGTCTTAGCCTTCGCACAGTACGAGAAATCACTGCCTACCTTCCCACTCACCGGCAGTGCCTTCGGTTTGGCAGTACCGTGAGTGGACTTGCCACCGCCAGACTTAGGTTTTGTCGGTTTCAGCACACCGCCCTTACGACTACTGCCAGCGTTCTCCCTGGCTTCACGCCGCCCCCCGACTACACATTTGATAGCTTAGCCAATAATAATGTGGATATATGAAGTGAATTACTCAGTGTTTGTGCAACATTCTCCTCGGCGGGATCCAAGGACGTCTCGGGTCTCGCGAATTTACCGTATGCCGGCTTCGGTTTGGCTTGGTAGAAATGCAGCGGTCTAGTCAGTAATGTGTACGTACAGCAGACCATGGTTGCCACGTACGTCGAGTGGTAGTAGGCTGCTTACTAGTAGTGTCATCCTCCATCTCGACATCTTCTGGCGTGTCTTCGACTGCCTTATCCTGCTCATCGGCTTCCGCCTCGTCCTCCACCACAGCACGCTTCTTCTTTTTTGTTTTCGGTTGCTCTTCATCACTCAATAATTCTTCTTCGGCCATTATCTTCGACGCCCTCTTCCGGACCTCTTTCAAGCAGGCCATCAGCGATAACAGTTAGGTTCATTGCAGCACAAACGACGCTCACGAGTAGTGCGTCGCTCCTTCTCCTTCTCCTTCTCCCTTTCCTGACCCTTCTTCTTGGCGGCCACTTCTTTCGCCTTGCCCTTCGTGAATTTACTATTTTTCATGGAGCCGCCTGCGGCCTGGTGTTGGTCGACCTGGTCGACCTGGGCGTTTCGGAGCCTTGTTCGGTTGCAACCGATCGGGTGACGCGCTTCGAGTCGGGCATGCCTGAATACGTAGCCAGAACACGGAGAGAGGAAAGACAGAGGATAGACTGTAGTGATATGAGAAACAAGAGACGCACCGTGGAATTTTACGTAGACGCTGCGAACTTCAACGATCGATGTGAGTGATGTTCATAGAGTCCGAGCGCTGTCAACCATGGGAAAGCGCTCATGGTATTCGCCAAAACGCGCAAGTTGAGTGAGGACGAGTGAAGCTATGTAGATACTAATAAATAAAAGTGGCGTTAGTAGAGCAACCATTGCGCTCCTCCAGCCACTTAATCATTTCTCTGTCCGTGTGCAATACAATGAAAGCCCGACGACCTTTGAAGTGTGAGTTTAAATGCGTCAATTTGCACGATGGAAATATCACGAAATCGCCGTTGCGAAGAGGTAGTATGACCAGACCTGGTTCATACAACTTGAACACAAGTTCGCCTCTGTCGATCGGAACTGTTGAGATATCGCTGCATAGGTTGCTAGCGGAGATCCCCACATGGCTCAGGTTCATGACTATGAAGTTAGCAAAGGGTGGCAGTGAAGTCGCGGCGCCGCGGAGTCACGTCTAGTACCCTTGACAGACCCACATAGCCTCTTGATCGCAGTGGTGCATCCTGCCCTACCCTGCCTCCTGGACTGCGAATACGATCCTCTACCAACCTTATCGAGCACTGCGAGGCTACTAGTGTTAGACAACTCAGATCAGCAGACAGATCAGCCACGTCATAGTCGTTAAGAACCACATATTATTGTACTGAATACAACCGCCGTACAATTCAATACTACCTGGGCACTACATCAGGCTCGCGCGAGCTACATGCATGTCGATCTTCCGTACGTCCGGCACTGCTCCATGAGCTCGGGCTCAAATTGTGCTTGCGTGGTCTAAGGCGCGTAGGCTCATCGTGTGTATGCGGCGAGCTGGTCAGGGAGGCGCATCGTGAATTCTGGAACGATCGATACTCCTGCATGGGATGTTGGTGCTTGGCGGCCCAGCAATCCTCGGGAGTGATGTGGTAGGGTCATCCTCGACGTGCCTGTACGCATTGGACTGAGGCCTGTCGGGCTGCTGGTCAACGGGCCCTTGCGCACTGTGTGCTGGTTCACGTTCCGGTGGGCGCCTAGCGGGTACTCACCGAGTGGTCCTGCTTGTTGGGGCTGGTCAAGCCGGACATGCGTTCACCGTATTGCTGTGCGACGGGTGGTCGTATCCGTACGCATCGGCCGTATCCGTACGCACCGGTGCGTGGTTGCTGGGGCTGGTCAAGCCCGGCATCGTATTGGTGTGCGACGGATGGTGGTACCCGTACCCGTCGGTCGTATCTGTACGCATCAGTCGTACCCGCACGCATCGGCCGTATCCGTACGCACCGGTGCGTGGTTGCTGGGGCTGGTCAAGCCCGGCATCGTATTGGTGTGCGACGGATGGTGGTATCCGTACCCGTCGGTCGTATCTGTCCGCATCGGCCGTACCCGCACGCATCGGCCGTATCCGTACGCACCGGTGCGTGCTTGCTGGGGCTGGTCAAGCCCTGCATGCGCTCGCCGTATTGGTGTGCGACGGATGGTGGTATCCGTACCCGTCGGTCGTATCTGTACGCATCAGTCGTACCCGCACGCATCGGCCGTATCCGTACGCACCGGTGCGTGGTTGCTGGGGCTGGTCAAGCCCGGCATCGTATTGGTGTGCGACGGATGGTGGTATCCGTACCCGTCGGTCGTATCTGTCCGCATCGGCCGTACCCGCACGCATCGGCCGTATCCGTACGCACCGGTGCGTGCTTGCTGGGGCTGGTCAAGCCGGGCATGTGCTCGTCGTATTGGTGTGCGACGGATGGTCGTACCCGTACCCGTCGGTCGTATCTGTACGCATCAGTCGTACCCGCACGCATCGGCCGTATCCGTACGCACCGGTGCGTGCTTGCTGGGGCTGGTCAAGCCCTGCATGCGCTCGCCGTATTGGTGTGCGACGGATGGTGGTATCCGTACCCGTCGGTCGTATCTGTACGCATCAGTCGTACACGCACGCATCGGCCGTATCCGTACGCACCGGTGCGTGGTTGCTGGGGCTGGTCAAGCCCGGCATGCGCTCGCCGTATTGGTGTGCGACGGATGGTCGTATCTATGCCCGTCGGTCGTATCTGTACGCATCAGTCGTACCCGCACGCATCGGCCGAATCCGTACGCACCGGTGCGTGCTTGCTGGGGCTGGTCAACCCGGACATGCGCTCGCCGTATTGGTGTGCGACGGATGGTGGTATCCGTACCCGTCGGTCGTATCTGTACGCATCAGTCGTACCCGCACGCATCGGCCGTATCCGTACGCACCGGTGCGTGGTTGCTGGGGCTGGTCAAGCCCGGCATCGTATTGGTGTGCGACGGATGGTGGTATCCGTACCCGTCGGTCGTATCTGTCCGCATCGGCCGTACCCGCACGCATCCGCCGTATCCGTACGCACCGGTGCGTGGTTGCTGGGGCTGGTCAAGCCCTGCATGCGCTCGTCGTATTGGTGTGCGACGGATGGTCGTACCCGTACCCGTCGGTCGTATCTGTACGCATCAGTCGTACCCGCACGCATCGGCCGTATCCGTACGCACCGGTGCGTGCTTGCTGGGGCTGGTCAAGCCGGGCATGCGCTCGTCGTATTGGTGTGCGACGGATGGTCGTACCCGTACGCATCGGCTGTATCCGTACGCACCGGTGCGTGCTTGCTGGGGCTGGTCAAGCCCGGCATGCGCTCGCCGTATTGGTGTGCGACGGATGGTCGTATCTGTGCCCGTCGGTCGTATCCGTACGCACCGGTGCATGCCTGTTGGGTCTGGTCAAGCCGGGCATTGGTGTGCGACGGATGGTCGTACCCGTACCCGTCGGTCGTAGTATCTATACGCATCAGTCGTACCTGTACGCATCGTTCGTATCCGTACGCACCGGTGCGTGGTTGCTGGGGCTGGTCAAGCCCGGCATGCGCTCGCCGTATTGGTGTGCGACGGGTGGTCGTATCCGTACGCGTCGGTCGTATCTGTAAGCATCAGTCGTCTCCGTACGCATCGGTGCGTGCTTGTTGGGGCTGGTCAAGCAACAAATCGAATAACTGCGATAGCGATGGTACAAGATAGCATGAGCGATAGCGACAAAGAACCAAGGCATCTAAGGGACGACTACGTCAATCTTACACCGCTGGAGACTACACAGACGAGAGCTAGAGAACTACCGTTATTCGTACACTGGTCTCCTGGATGATACAACAAGCGAGGTGAGACGATCGGAGACACTATGATCACGACTGAGACGACGGGGGCGACGAGGGCGACGGGGACGACGCATACGAACGAGCTCACCCGCGGGAGGTACTCGGTCCATCGCGAGCACGATCGTTGGTGCCCTCCGAGTCGTCTTCGCTGCTGTCACCGACACCCTCCCCACGCTTGCGTTTGAGATAATTGTTCTCCAGACGATCTAGGCGAGCCATGATGTCTTCCCCCTTCGAATTGCGCCCCCGCTTCCCGGGTTTGCTGCCCTGCGAAACGGTCGCGTCTTGACCGGTGATCCTCGAGTTGTCGCAGAGGCGTTCACTTGCAGTGCCGTATGCGCCCAACCGGATCTCGCGAACAAGACGAGGAATGCAGTCGTCAAAGTTCAGAGTTTCCTCGGGCGGATTGAGGAGGCGCAGCAGGTATATGCGAAGTTGTCCGAGCCGCTTTTCATGTTCCTCTGGGGGGAGGTCCATCAGCGCCGTGTCGATGGTCTGCTCATTCTCATCGAGCATCAGTTGGCCCGCCAACAAGGCTAGTTTCTCCTTGTAGGCTTGCACGACCTTGCCCATGAACGCCTCGACCTGCAGCTGCTGCGCCTCATTATACGAATCGAGGAGAGGCTTGCTAGAGTGTCAGTGGATTTGAAGTCACAACAGAACACGCTGACTTACGATTGCAAGGCCCCTAGCGACCCACTCCTCCATCGGCCACTTCGCCTTCACGCCCTCCCTAAAGATTTCCAGTTGGTCGAGGGGGATGTGAAACCAATAGACGCGAACAGCGCCGAAGAAGACTTTGCCCTTCGCGACGAATGGACCCGCTTTGTGTATCAACTCCGGGTACGTCTTCAGCATCTTGTTGTAGGCGTCGGCATCGAATTTCAGGTCTTTGAGTCGATGATAACCGATCCCTGGCGATGACCACTTCGCCTTCTCGCTACCGGTCTTCTGCAGCTCCTGGATCCTGAAGCAGTTGAGGGCGATGAGGTTCAGTGAGTCTTCATCGTCATCGTCGACCTCCTCATCTCGATAGGCTACGAACCGGTCCGCCATCTCCAAGATCTGCCGTACCAGCTAGATTGAGTAGACTGCACCGATGATTAGTTAAAATTTCTGACCTTATTGAGTACGCCTTCCGTAGCGCCTTCGTATTCGGTGTACGTAGGCTGAGACTGCGCCGTCTCGTCCAGAGAAGTGATGACCAGTTCGCTGCCCACTTTGATTGCCTCGACGGCGTCGGCGATCTTCTTCTTCCCTCCTTTTCCACGCACAGACGCGTAGTCCGCGGTATCGTCAGAAATACCGAGGAGCCTTCGTAACCACACCGGCGGAAGGAAGTATTCAACGAATCGCTCGTGGAGCATCAACTTCTTCAATGCACCGAGACGGTTGTGTAGGTGAGTTGGCGACATCGTTGTTAATTCGTTCTTCTCTGGATCATAATCAAAACTACGATATCATGTTCGAAATTATTATTTGAATCTGTTCGAGAAATCAGTACCCACCTGTACCGGTTTAGCTCGTCGTGGGTCTGAAGCCACTCCTGCAATGCCTTCCACTCTGTCTCAGTGAAGCCGGTGACCACCTGCACAGTGTAATAACAATTTAAATCTCACAGGTATCGAACTGCTAAACGGCAAATAACACTTACGAACTCGCCTGCGGCGTAGGGAAGCTCGTTGTAGCGATCCCCGAACGCCTTTCGGACTACCTCAGGGTATTGTTCCTCCTTGTCGGTCTCGATCTCCTCGATAGCTAGCAGATGTCGATCATCAGTGGATCGCGTAGGTATGCCTGTAGTAGGCACGTCATACGTACCAGGCTCCTTATTGACTGAGTTCGACTTGTCTCTGGTCGGGCTAATCTCTACCGATTTGATGCCGCACATTAACGAGCGCGCTGCGTGGAGATGGCGCATCCGGATACTCACCTGGCTCGGCAGAGCTTGCTTTCTTGAAATTGTTAGAGTGTTTAGACCTGGATCTTGCTATATAATGAATCTGTCAGTACCAACGAAGCGACGATAAAATTCTGTAAGTACTCACCTTCAAGGCTCGTGGCCTGAGATTGGTAGCTCGAGTAAGCGCTGTCCCCCTTCAAGCTGTCGTTGCCATTGGTAAGACGAGGAGAGATGGATAGAGGTGAGCGGATGGTGTGAGGGACAGAGCGAGAGCGAACGATAGAAGTGGGAGACATCTTCGTTCACGATGGTGACTCAGAGTATGAGGACCCTCAAGAACCTGCCTGGGGCCGGCCGCCACTCAGGCAAAGGAGCTAAGCATGTCGTCAAGTGACCGGCCTAGCATGTGCAACGCCGGCACAGCCTCCCCTCAGAGTCCGCAGAGAATTTGTGGCCTTACTGTATGCGTTCTTCGTGTTCTCACTATGCCATCGCGTGCCCCGCCCAATTGGCTCTTCCAGCTTGTGTTACTCACGCTGGATCTTCGCTACCCCCATTACAGCCAGACGCACTTCCACGGCGGACCGGATTCATCTGTTGTATTAAAGCGGCACAGGCCCTGCTTTCTCCGCTGTGCCTGTGGCATGTGACAGCTGATGCGCCACAGCTGTCACACGCCACAGCTCGCGATGTCGCATAGCATTGAAGTCCGTAAGGAAGAGAAAAAAAGCTGAAGTACACACCTTGGGTAGGTTTCCAATACACGCCAACTCCTATGCGATCAAGATGATCGAGTGTGACCTACAACAAACGGTAAACTGGTCAGTTCAGCATCACGTAGGTATTAGGAGAAAGGATGAATGTTACCAACGCCCTAGCGCTGTCGGGTCCGAGACGAACATGAAGGTTGAACGTTGAACGTTGAAGGAGAAACGCACCGTGCAACGCGCTTCGTCTGACGCTCACAAACGCCCTAGAGTAACGTAATGACATATGAAGGGTGGTTGCAATTTATGCAATGAGTTTCAAAATTTTGGCCCCTCCCTCGTTCGCTTTCCTCTCGGCCCTCATTCCCAGTGCGTATTTATTCCTCTGCTGTGTTTTTGTGAGCCTAAAATCAGTTTATGGGCTAGGTATGGTGAAGCGAAAGCGCACCTTCGACGAGCTCCTCGGCGATACATGCGGCGCTTGTCACCAACCATTCCGAACGACGCAGGGCCTCTGCGCTCACCAGACCATGAGCAAGAAATGCTCATGGTATAAGAAAGGAAAACTAAAAGAAATTTTTACCGTCAAGGACCATCCGGTAGCGTTGGAAGACGGCGTGATAGTTGAGCACACGCGGTAAGCTCCTAGAAGTCCCTACAGGGTTTGGACAATTAAAATAATGCGTACATTCAGGCGCACCGACCTTTCGAGCAGACCCGACCATTCTGGCGACGAGTCAGAGCATGTCCCCAATCCATCACCTGAAGAGGACGCAAATGAAGACCTTGAAGAAGAAGAAGAGGACGATGAGGACCTCTCGTCACTTTACGATTTCATAGAGGTCTGCGCACCTTCCAAGCCGCCGGGCGATCCAGGAGGGTACGGAGACGGACACGATGGTGGAGGTGGAGGTGGACACGGTGATGGCGGCGGCAACACAGGCAGCGCTGCAGCAGGGCCATCAACTTCGAATAGTACAAGACGAACTGCGCTCTCGCTGGATGACGACCACGACGAGCGAGTAGTAGACGAAGATGTAAGCGCAGGCAAGGTTACCGGCGTAGACGAAGAGGTGCGCAGAAGATGGCTGGAGGGAAGGGAAGGTGGACGTTCAGGTTAGTAAGGGATGCTGACACACACCTATGACGACTTGCATTCTGACTGTTGAACTAGGATTAGCAAGTCAAGTAGTTGTCGAGAACGCAGGAGAAACGCGAGCGGAAGACGCGACAGACGGTGAGGGTACAGCAAAGCAGCCGAAGAACCCATGGGAGCCCTTCGAGTCCGAGATGGACTGGCGGTTCGCTTCATGGGCAATCCAGGAAGGACTAACCCAGGGTTCCATAGACAGAGCGTTGGAAATACCCGGGGTGAGTACTTGCACTTCCCTGAAGATGATACTAGCTGACGTACCTCAGTTCAAGGAGAGACTCGGCTTGTCATATCACAACAGTCGATCCCTCCTCCAACGTGTGGATTCTCTGCCCGAGAGGGCGGAGTGGATTGAACGGTGCCTCTCGTTCAAGGACCGACCGAACGAGAGGCACCTTCTTCAGTTTCGCGACATAATCCAGGCTATACGCACGTTGCTGGGAAACCCGGAACATACTGATCAAATTGTGTATCGACCCCGGCGAATCTTTTCAGACGCTTCGAGGAAGCATCGCCTCTACAACGAGATGTGGACTGGCCGTTGGTGGCATGCCGTTCAAGTGAGTGCTCTTACATCAGTTCATCGGCCCAAATTTCTGAAGCACCTGTAGAGCATCTTACCTGTAGGCTCTACTGTAGCACCTGTCATTATCGCTACCGACAAAACTCAGTTGACGCAATTCTCGGGGAACAAGGCTGCTTACCCGGTCTACATGACACTCGGCAATATACCGCGTGCTCTAAGGCGTAAGCCGTCTGAGCATGCATGTATACTCATAGGCTACCTTTCGGTCGACAAGGTCAGCTCGGACGCATTACGCAGCGCAAGCAACGCGCCCTTGTGCAGCAATTATTCCACGCGTCCGTGCGTGCGATCTTGGAGCCACTGGTCGCTGCAGGAAAGGAAGGAATCGACGTGACATCGGCCAATGGGAGGTTCGAAGAGTGCACCCGATCCTCGCAGCATATGTCGCGGATTATCCAGAGCAGTGCCTGGTCACTTGCGCCAAGTCTGGGACTTGCCCCAAGTGCCAGGTACCGGAGGAGCTGCTCGAATCCGGCAAGCCAGGTACGCCGCGTACTTCCCTCTGGACATTGGATGTCCTGCGCCGCGCCAGCGAGAAGACGCAAGGCAAGACGAGCTCGAACGCGTACACTCGAGCCTGTCAAGACCTCAACGTATCCGGCTACGTCGTGCGCCCGTTCTGGCGCGATCTTCCGTACACCGACATCCATTCGTGCATAACCCCTGACGTACTACATCAATTGTACCAGGGTGTTTTTAAGCACATCGTCGAATGGTGCACTCAACTTGTCGACGAGCACGAGCTCGACAGGCGCATCCGCTGCCTTCCGCCTGCGTTCGGTACCCGCCACTTCAAGAACGGGATTTCCTCCCTATCCCAGGTCTCGGGGACCGAGCGTAAGCACATGGCTCGCATACTGCTTGCCTGTCTGGTCGGCAAGATACCGAAGAAAGCAATCCTCGCTTTCAGGTCTATTCTAGACTTCATTTATCTCGCACAATACACTACTCACGACGACACGACGCTCCAGTACATGGAGGACGCCCTCAAGACCTTCCACAGCAACAAGAACATTCTCGTCGATCTCGGAGTGCGCGATCATCTTAATATTCCGAAGTTCCATTCATTACTTCACTACGTTGACGCAATCCGACTACTAGGCTCTACGGATAACTACAACACGGAGGCGTTTGAACGTCTCCACATCGACTACGCGAAGAAAGGGTGGAGAGCATCAAACCATCGCGATGCGCGTCCGCAGATGGTTCGTTGGCTGGCACGACAGGAGAAGATGGTCGTGCTCAGCTCAACCATCCACCGCTGGCTCAGGAGTACTGGCCGAGAGCCTGCAGACGACGTCAGTGACAGTGACACAGGCGACTCCGAGCAAGACCGGATACCAGGCTCTCGAATCAACTGTCGAATTAAATTACCCAAGCATCCCACTGCACCCCTCCAGGCTCTCCGTACTATTGTCGACAAACACCGAGCTCCCGGCTTCATCGACACCCTCGCGCAGTACATCTACACACTCAAGAACGGACGCTCTCTCACCTCGTCCCAGCTTCAGCATGCAGTCGACCGCATGCCTTTCCAACGCCTCGACGTGTTCCACGGATTCAAATTTGCTCCTGAACCGTTGACGGACGACGCGTTGGAGACGGACGCGGTGAAAGCAAAGCCCGCCACTGCTGGACAAGCAGCACGTTTCGATACTGTAGTTGTACTGCAGGGAGAGGATGCCGAAGCCACTGGATTGCAAGGTAACTACCTCGGGTTTTTTCGTAGACGGCTCTTCTAACTTGAATATAATCACTGAGTACAGGTACCAGGATCGGACGCGTCAAGGTTATATTCAAGCTACCTACTAGTGACATTAGAGACCCTCGCACCCTCCAGCCGCTGCAACCTCCATTGGAATGGGCTAGCCAAGGGCCTCTCGCCTACGTTGAATGGTTTTCTAAGCTACCAGCCCAAGCTGATCCGATACATATGATGTATCCTGTACACAAACCTCCCCTTCGCGCGAACGGCAAGCCCGTCGGTGATATCATTCCTTTGTCACTCATTCGCCAATCATGTCAGCTTGTCCCCTGTCCTCCTGGAGCACGCGCCGTGGCGAACCTACCTGATGATTGGGACACCCATACCGTCCTCGATCAGGCGCACAAGTTCTGGCTCAATAATTGGACATCCAAGTACGCCTATCAGACACTTTGGTAGAGTAATCAACGTAGCAATACAATTCCGTCCTGTAATTCCAGTTACACAAATATCTGAATGACTAGTAGCAACGCTTCATGATTCTTCAAACCGAATTCCGCACTTCATACCACTCAAGAGTACTCGCCACCTTGAGTCGATTGCTCTCGGCGTTCTCCGGAGTGGGCGCTTCGCACTGCTGTCCTCGTCAACAAGTGCAGACCACCTCTGCTACTTCGCTCACCTGCCTTCTCGTCTGTTCGCCTCTACCCGCCCGTCTACGACCTAGCTCAGCAGCGAGCTTACTATTCTGCTGACTTGTGCTCTCGGTACCCTTCTTTCTCTCTCGGCTGTCGACTTCTCGTTCTCCCGGTCGTCCGACCACCCGCTCAACCTGGCGCTTGCATTCTGCTCCCTCGCTCAGGCTCGTCTTCTCGCCTGCCCGCCCTCAACTGTCTATCTACGTACTTTTCCGACTGCCTGCTATCTCTTCTACTGACCTGTTGTAACAGCTGCCTTCTTTCTCTCTCGGTTGTCCACTTCTTGCCCTCCCAGTCTGACCACCCACTCAGCCGGGTCGCTTGCTCTCTCGCCCGTCTGCATGTCTCTGGCCTGCCCGCTTTCTTTCATACCATTCGTTAACTTGTCAGCCCATGTGCACGGTCATCCACAAGCTGGCCTGCCCACCTGTCGTGTATATCTGTGCGTTCAGTGTCTCCCCGCACATCTGTTTGCCTTGGTGCGTATTGCGTATGTCGTTCTTCTGTCGCCCGCAGATGTTTGTATGATCTAATTTCGGTGTGATGGGCCGGCCTCGAGAGGGTTGTGCAAAGAGCGAGGAGGGAGCCAGGTACGTGAGGGCGAGAAAAGCGGGCATGAACCGTTGAACGACCGAAGCCGCAGGTAAGTGCTTGTTCGCTGTTGGCTCGTAGCTCATCGTAAGTATCAGCACAGCAAGGAAAGAAGGCTCCTCTCGCCGACCTCTCGCCCATCAACTCACTCGCCCGTCCTCCAGACAGTCCCATGGGCGCAGAACGGAACTCGATGAGGGCAGCACAAAGGATGAGGAGGAGGACGGAGGCAGGTACTGCGAGGGCGAGAAAAGCGGGCACGAAGGCTCGAGAGCCGCAGGTACACCCTTGTCCGATGCACTAACTACCACGCGGGAAAGAATGGTCCTCTCACCGGTCCTCTCTTTCACCTACGCCTCGTTCGCCCGTCATTTGCTCGCCCGCCGTCTCGCTTCAAGGTTCACTCACTCGAACTCTGCTTCGATCGCCCAACCTCGCGCTCGCTGGATCTCTCGCCGGTTCTCTCTCTCACCCGCGTCTCTTGGCTGTCCCTTGCCGTTCCTCTCACTCGCTCGTCGACTCGCTTCTACATCCTCTCTGTCCGCGACAAATGACTCTGGAAGGCTAGCAAATGGCCTGCCACACCTAGTTGTATGGGGCGGGAGCCCAGAAACGATATCCACAACGACTGCACTCGTCGAGAACGCGACCAGACGTACACGAGGATCGCTGACCGATGCTACTAGTCAGCCATGCACGGCGACATAGCCTCAGAATTGCCGCTGCCTCTTTGCGCTTCATGGTCACCTGGATTATGTCCGCACTGTGCATCGTGAGTTTCCGCTTTGCTGTAGTCGCTGCTTCACTTCATCTTCTAGATCTTAGCTTCGGATGATTAAATGGCTAAACGATCCGCATCTGGAATAGCACGTCGCGCAACTGTGTTTTCATCCAAAGGAGGATCGGTCGTCTCCGCGTCGCAAGACCAAACTGTGCGTGTCTGCGACATCTCAGGTCTAAGGAAGAGCACCCCGAACTCGGCACCAGGCGGCACTTTCGATACTTTCGACACCTTCTCGACCGTCAAGTACGTACTTGAAGGCCATGACTGCGGTGTCAACTACGCGACGTTCCACCCTACCCTCCCTCTCATCGTTTCTGCTGCGGACGACCGGCAAATCAAGATCTGGCGTATGAGCGACACGAAGGCCTGGGAGGTCGACGCATGCAGGGGACACTTCAACAATGTGTCGACAGCGCTGTTCCATCCCAAGCATGAGCTCATCGTGTCATGCGGCGAAGACAAGACCGTACGGGTGTGGGACCTGACGAAACGATCTGCCGTGCAGACATTCCGACGGGAGAATGATCGCTTCTGGACCCTTGCTGCCCATCCCGAGTTGAACCTCTTCGCAGCGGGTGCGTTTCTTTTGATTCTGCGTCCGTCCTGTACTGACGTAGTCGTAGGCCACGACAACGGCTTGATCGTCTTCAAGCTTGAGCGTGAGAGACCTGCCTTCGCTGTGCATGACGACTCTGTCTTCTATGTGCGGGATAAGTATGTACGCTCGTACGACATCAACACCGGCTCGGATCTCGGTCTGCTCAGCGTCCGCAAGTTCGGGAGCCCGTACGTCCCCCGCGAACGCTGAGCTATAATCCTGCGGAGCGTGCCGTCGTGTTGACGATTTCGTCGGACAATGGCTTGTTCGAGCTCACGGCCCTGCCGAAGGATGCTGTCGGGGAAGTGAAGGACTCGTCTACAGACGGCAAGCGTGGAAGCGGTCATGCCGCCATCTTCGTCGCCAGGAACAGATTCGCGGTCTTGAACAAGACCACCCAGGTTTGTCTCGCCTTGACCCAGCTTCAGTATATGGTAATTCATCGATGTGTTCTCTAGTTGATTGAAGTGCGCGACCTGCAAAACTCAATTGTCAAGTCTATCAAGCCACCGGTCCAGACGAACGAGATCTTCTATGGTGGAACCGCGAGCCTCATTCTCAGCTCGGCGACGTCAGTGCTACTTTACGATATCCAACAGCAGAAGAAGCTCGCGGAGAACACTACTCCGCCGGTCAAGTACGTTGTCTGGAGCCCGGACGGTACATTGGTTGCCCTCCTCAGCAAGCACAGTACGCATATGGTATATCTCGCTCTGATGTCTCGTTGATGAGCATTTCACAGCGATCACCATCGCGAACAAGAACTTCTCGCAGCACACCCTCATTCACGAAACGATTCGGATCAAGTCTGGTGCTTGGGACGACTCCGGCGTCTTCATCTACTCGATGTTGAACCACATCAAGTACTGTCTTGCACAGGGGTGCGTACGGCTGCGTTATGTCACGACGGCCGCCCTCATTTGACCATACTGCAGGGATCACGGCGTCATCTGCACGCTCGACAATCCTGTATACTTAACGCGTGTCAAGGGAAAGACCGTCCACTGCCTTGATCGATCTGCACGCCCCAGGACCATCACCATCGACCCGACTGAATACCGATTCAAACTGGCTCTGTTGCGCAACAATCATGAGGAGATGCTGCACGTCATCCGCACGTCCAACCTACTGGGTCAGAGTATCATCGCGTACCTGCAGCAGAAGGGTTTCCCGGAGGTATGCACACATTGTTACTATAGCGCATCAACGATCTGACCACAACTTGTAGATTGCATTGCATTTTGTCCAAGACAAGAACACGCGATTCGATCTTGCGATTGAATGCGGGAACATTGAAGTCGCGTCGGAAATGGCCCGCGCACTCGATCGACCTGAGTGCTGGGAGCGACTGGCGCAGCAAGCTCTGAAACAGGGCAACCACAAGGTATCTGATTTCCGTTCCATTGTATGATGCATGGGTTCTGACATACGCCTTGTAGATCGTCGAGAAGGCCTTCCAGCAGACGAAGAATTTCGACCGCCTGTCCTTCTTATACCTCGCTACGGGAAGTGCCGACAAACTGCTCAAGATGCAGAAGATCGCTGATTCGAGGGGTGATCCCAAGTCTCGATTGCACAACGCGCTGTATTCGGGCGACATTTTGGGACGCATCGCTGTGCTGCGAGACGTCGGCCTTCGTGCGTCCTCCTGTCAGACTTTTGACCACACGGCTAACGTCTTGACAGATCCTCTTGCTTATCTCACGGCGAAGACAAACGGGCTCGACGACATTGCTCTGCAGATCCTCGAGGCTGCTGGCCTCACCGAAGCGGATGTCGATGACATCCCGGCGTTCGGTCCCTCTACGTTGCGACCCCCGCCAGTGGTCACTCCGATTGAAAACCTGACCTGGCCCTCGGTCTTGATCGGTGACAGCTTCTGGGACCGTGCACTCGCTAACGGGCATCTGGAAGACGGTGCGCCGGCACCATACATGAACGGTCACGACACGACAGGTGCTACCGCGTCTTCGGCTCTTGATGAATGGGCCAAGGAAGAGGAGGAAGAGGAGGAGGCCGAAGTGGAGGAAGATGCGTGGGACCTCGCCCCCGATGCTGACGAGCTTGAGCCAGAAGAAGAGGAGGAGGAGGAACTCCCAGAGGATGAGGTTGAGCTGGGAGCAGGCGCCGCACCTGGTATCAGCGAGACGGAACTTTGGATGCGCAACTCACCGTTCGCTGGTGATCACATTGCGGCCGGTTCGTTTGACACGGCTATGCAGGTGGGTGCCACTAGTGGATCCGTGCGTTCACAGCGCTGACGATATTTCTGACAGTTGCTGAGCAGACAGTTCGGTGTGGTCAACTTCGTGCACCTCAAGCCGCTCTTCCTCTCCACATATCGCTCGGCACACGTCTACCTCTCCCCTCTCGCGTCATTGCCGCCCTTGCAGTTGCATTTGAGGCGCAACCCGCAAGAATCGTCTTCTAGCAGAGTGCTGCCTGTCGCTGTCAAAACGCTCGCCGCGTTACGCGCAGAAATTACCGAGGGGTGCCGACTACTTTCTGGTGCAAAACTGCCGGAAGCGCAGGACACTTTCCGCTCTGTACTACGCGAGCTTCTGCTCATACCTATCGCCTCCGACGGGGACGCCAACCTCGTACGTGATATGACTGCAGCTCGGTATACATTGATGCTCATGATTTGTTAGTGGCGGGACATGGTCACCATGTCCAAGGAGTACATCCTGAGTGTGAGCTTAGAAGTTGAGCGCAGACGTGTCACTAAGGACGAGCTAGACAATGCTCGGCTCAGCCTGGACTCGGAGCTTGCGGCGTACTTCACGCACTGTAAGCTTGCAACACCACATTTGCAGATCGTGCTGCGCAGTGCCATTGGACATTGGCGTCTTCGCGAAAGCGAACATCCATGTAATCGCAGCAAGATTCGCCCACCGCCCGACGACTGTTGGAGCTCAATTTTGATCCCGAAATTGTAGCGCAGGTGTGTATAACTTTCTTCTCCATTTGGTCTGTCTTGACGTTATTGTCTGCAAGGCTCGCCAATGACTTGCGGCTATTAAACCGCGTGACGCCGTGGAGATATCCCGCCAACACCAGCGAGCTAGAGTACCCGGGTAGTAGGGTACGTGTACCACTGCCAGTGTAAACCACTCGGGTCGCCGGACTCCAGTCACTACCACTAGTATGTCATTGTAGAATACGAGTTACCTACTAGTTACTGCATTTTGGGGTACGGTAGTGAAGGTTCTACAGTGTGTTAGTAATTCACTTACATCATAAGTCTTTAAGTCTTTCGGATACTACTAGTCTGGTCTGATGGATATGTCATGAGGCTGCTTTATTGTCTTCAGATGCGTGTGATGCAATTCCATTTTTCTTGAACACTGCTTCAGTAGTCCTCAGAATGCTATATGTCACTCAATCCATCTTTTCGTTCGATTATGTGAGTAAATGATACCAAAAGTACATTTGAATTGGATGAAGCTTGAATAAGGGAAATAGGTTTTTCCTGATGTGAGGAACAGCCCCGTAAGAAAGCAAGGCAAGCTCGCGGTTCCGGCGGCGAGGGCGAGGGCGAGGGCGAGGGCGATGGCGATGGCGATGGCGATGGCGAGGGCGAGGGCGAGGGCGGTGGCGATGAAGGAAGTCCAGACAGCGGTAGTGAGCTGGACATTCGCATGGAGAGCCCTTCTCCTCCTGCTCGGCGTACGTGCAATCTCATAAGCTCAGAAGCTCTAACTAATACTGATGTATGTTTGAAATGAGCTAAACCTAAGCCGGCTTACAGGCGGTTGAAGAATCCCGAGCCGGACACGAGGAAGGGAGATGCCCCGTTGACCGAGGAAGAGCAGCACATCGCACAAGCTATCGCCCGTAAGTCACATCGCATCAGGAGCTGCGTGTATCACTACTAACACTGGTGTCTTAACGCACTCCAGCAAAGGGCAAGGCTAAAGAAAAGCCTGCGTCGAAGAAGTCGGTAGTCATTGAAAGCCCGGAGGCCTCGGAGCAGGAGAACGTGTCTGTTCGCTCGGGATCGGCAGAGAAGGAGGATAGGTCTAGGCAGGGGGGAAAGGGGAAGGATGTTGTGCGCGGTAAGAAGAAGGCATATGTGGAGATCAGCGTTACAAGGGTGAGTATTGTATGTTATACGGACTTGAGAACCTGACGTGTTTGTCGATGAAAGGGCAAGAATACGTCCAAGTCCAAGATAGTCGCTTCAAGTTCGGAAGATGAGCAAGATGACGATGACAAGGTGGACGAGCTCGAATCATCGGACGATGACGGTGGCTCCCGGTTCTCGGTGCAGGGAGCAGATGAGGACGGCGTGGATGACTCGGATGATGTGGTGGTAAGTGGTACTTGCGTTCATTCGAAGTGTTGACGTACAGACGCAGCGTGTAGGAGATATCTACGAAGGACGTGAAGAAACACCGTAAAGGGAAGGGCTCTCAAGTAAAGGCTCGAGCGCGCGTCAAGGCTGCAGACCTGCCCATTGATATCCGTCCACTTGTCACCGCTGCTCAGAACTTCCTCCGGCTTCGCCTTGCACTCAAAAACGCGTGGACCAGCGACTCCTCTGTGGCAAGTTCCCGTCTGCTGGACAACATGCAGCTCGTCGTCACTGCCTTGAAGGAGGCTCGTGACATGCGCGACAAGGACGGCAAGAGGGTGAAGAGTATGCGGGTCACATATAATGAAGTGCAGGATAAGAAGGGGCACGAGGGAGATACACTGAGAAAGAATGTCCAAACAGTGGTGAGTTACGTCGTGGGTCTCAAAAATATCTTAAACCTTCATTCTCGGCAGGTCTGGACGGTCGCCTCTCAGTTTCGATTCGACGTAAAGAAGAAAGCGAAGAGCGTGGTCGAACACGCATACGGGCTGAACAGCCTGTCGGTTCAGCAACGGATATCGCTCGCCCAATGGCTCCTCAAAACTCACCTGATGAAGGTCAAGGGTGGCAAGCGTGAGATCCCTAACTTCGTGTTCAGTGACATGAGGATTATCTGGAACGCGAAGGATAAGCTAGACAAGGAGGTACGTACTCTATCACTAGACGTGTTTCCGACGTGTTGTTGCGTCGTGATACCCGCTAATCCAGGCGTGCAGAAATGCTCTGTCAAGTCAGAGCTTCTGTTTAGGCATCCTGCAATCTCGGAGATAATCGTGCAGCAGTGGTTCCAGGGTCATGCCACAGGCGTGCCTGTCGACCGCTTCAGCGCGGTCCCAGACAATCTCATCGCTTTGGTCTGCAACTCGGTAGGTTCCTGTTGCGATGTGTTTTCTGTACTGTGCTTATTATCGCAACGTCATTAGATAGATGCTGCGTTGAGCGAGATAGCGTTCGGGAATCAAGTAGTGTTCACCAACAGGGCCTTCGCACCAAAGTAAGTCATTCTACACTCCTCTAAGCAGTGATGTATTGACCAGTCGCTAGGTGGGACGATCTTATGTCAATACTCGAAGCTACGCAGAAGAACGTGCCCGACTACTACGCTGACATGAAGAAGCAATTGTGGGCTCGTATAAGGTGAGTGCTCTGCGTTTCAGACGTAGGCAATAGTTACTTACTGATAGAATACTCACAGCTCCAGAATTGAAGGCGATGATGAGGAAGATTCGGACCAGGACGACGGGGAGGACTTCGTTAAGTGGACGAAGCTCCAGGACATGGTGCTCGAGGCGCCCACCGCCCCCTCGTCCTCAAACACGGGTCCGGTGTCATCGTCGAGTACTGCGGCGAAGCCCTCGTCCGCCGGCAAACCTACATCGTCAAAGGGGAGAACCAGCGGGGCGCAGGGTAAGCAAACAGTGTACGACAGTATAGCTATGACTGATGGAAGCTTGCACGACACAGCATCCTCGAGCAAGACGGTTCTTCCAGCTGAGCCTGGTGTGAGCAGCGACGGAGAGCAAGCGGGCACAGAGGGACAGGAGCGCGAGTATATGCCTGATACTCTTATGTCTTCTAGGGCTGACATTGCGACACACAGGTAACGAACCTGCTCTGAACACCGATACTGCCCACCCCTGATCGCCTACGCCAGCTGTCTGAACTCCAAGGGTACGACAGCTCATTTATCTTCGCTCTGGGCACTCACCTAAATTGTTTTTATTTTCAGATTACCAATATCTACTCGCGTCTACTATACCCCACGTCCTTGGAGGTAACAATCTACTATGTACGTTGTCTCGCATTCGTTGCTGTGTGCTTGTAGTACGTTGCTATTGAGCCTGTTGTGCTTTTGCTGCATGTATATCAATGTTGTACCAACTATAGAAGCGTGAATGAATGAATGTAAGGGATCAGTGGAATTAATAGGCATTGCTTGAAAGAATTAAGAGCTTGGTCTCAAGCCCAAAAGTAAAAGCTCCTTGAGAATAAGCACATAAGACTTCCATTGTAATGTCATGAATGACTTGGTCAAGGCATTCAAGCTGGGACGTTAGGACTGGTGAGAAGAGCACAAGTAATACTTATGGTCTCATACCCAAGTCCAAAATGCAGCTTTGCTAACTCTCAAGTCTTTCCCAAGAATAAAATGTAAATGACTTGTCTTTCTGCCTTTTATTACTTTAGATTACTTGAGAGCCTCTCAAGACACATGAGTTTTTCCTGATGTCGTACTACTCCGAGTTGGTATGTCGTGACTGTTTGTGTTCGCCGGCTGATCCCGCTGTTTGGCAATGATTGCAGACTCGCGTACGGCCTCTCGCCCAGCCTGAACTTGAAGTGGCATTTTTCGCAGCCACGCTCAACGTTGCTGTCGAGTCACTGGGCCGTCATGGCCTCCCTCCCTTCTCAGTTCGCTGCCCAAGAGCCGCCGGGACCAGGAGGTAGAGGACATCGACAATCACGCGCAACTGAGCAAATTGAAGGCTATTGTATGTCATTTCTTTGGCTTGTACTTCTCGATGACATAGGTTTGACAGGTGCGCAAGTCGCATCAAGTCAAGCTCGTCGACAAGCACACGAGGCGAGACGACTTGGACCCAGTGGAACGGCTCAAACACACGACACTGTCGCAGCCATTACACCAGACAGCGATCACGTGTCACCTGCCAGCGAACCTCAAGCTCTCAATGTTGGCTCTTTGATGCCGCCACAAATTGACGTTGATACTGCCCTGGGATGGTCCCAGGCGGAATGGGACAACATGTGCGTTCAATTCGGACCTACTCTGTGCGTGGCACCCTGCATGCTAATTACTAATACACAAGCAGTCTACCCGCAGGCTACAGGATGCCGTACTTCGAGCCGCAGTCCCTGAATGCAGTACCACCGCCGGTACCATCGGGCACGATGTTGCAGATGGGACTCGGCCCCGGCCTGCTGAGTAACACTGACATGATGCGACCACAGATGCCGTCAACTGCTCCATACAGCGATCAACCCAATCCAATTGCACAGTCCAGTCTCGTGCCTACGCACAGCACACAGCCTGGCCCTCGTCTCATGCCGCTGCAGCTGCCTCTGAGTCAGACCCCGGTTCATCTACCTAATGGATCCCGACAGACCTCACAGCGGCAGCACACGTCACCTCCCGTAGACGACTTGGAGGCGTTCACAAATGTCAACGCTGCCAACTTGAACGCTCGCGGAACCCAAGACAGCACTCGTCACCGACCACCCACCCTTGATGATGGTGAGGAACTAGTACTGTATCTATCATTCACGACACATCTGCTGATTCAATACCGCCTGATCCCTGGATATGGCCCGAGTAGAGCCGGCAGAGAGTGACTCTCACGAAGCTGATCAATCCCTCCTTGACAGTGATGTCCCGCGCAGCATGAATAGTATGGTACGTCTACTATCTGCCCAATACATGTTGAACACTGAGACTTACACAATCATCTCTATCATTGAGATTTCGTCGACGCCAGTTGCATTACCACCGATCCAGCGGATGACTCACCGGTGCGCAACTAGCAGTGTCTCGTCGCGCCGTTCAGTCACCCCTGCTCCATTGGCAACACCTCAGGCTACCATACATTGTCGCACCAACGGCTCAGCAACTCCCCAAGCAGAGATGTCTGCTGCTAGTACTACTAGTAGGAGCACCCCGTCGCCGGAAGATGGGGCTGATGGTATGACTCGCAACCCGGTAAGATGTTGACAATATTAATTGCGCATTCTGCTGACTCATTGATGATAGAACTCATCGCTTGGTCCGCGTCCACGCGAGGATGATAGCGAGGACGAACATACCACCAGTGATGTCCGGAAGCGCGCACGAAAGCGCGATCGAACAAGACGAAAAGTGGTCGACTTGGATGTCGATCGCCAGAAAGTGGTACAACTGGCATATAGTCACTTCAAGCTAGTATTTGAAAGTCCAGTCCAGTCCAGTCTTTTGACCCCTCAGAGGAAAGACTGCGACTGCGACTGGTCCTAGATTGACCCCAAAATGGTAGGACTGGGACTGGACTGACTGCAACCAGTCCTTTGCAGTCCAGTTGCCTCCAAAGACTGGTCCCAACTGGTTGCAACTGCACATGCAGTCCCAACTGGTCCCAACTGGTCCTGACTGGTCTTTTGCCAGTTGCAACTGGTTTGTTCAGCAATTATGTCTGCATGTTTGGTTACAAAGCTTTTTGTACTATTGTAATATGGTATATAATGGTAGGCAATAGTGTGTATCCCATGGGAGCATCATATTTCAGTCCATAATGACTGATACAGGCAAGGCATGTGATGTCAGTAAGGGTGAGACAGGTACACCTACCATATTAGGCATAAGTGGAGGTGCATAGATGGACAATACATGTTGCCTAAATAGGTTACATCATTAATATGTCCACCATGTTGTGCATATCCTATGTATTACTGCTATTTATGACCCCCAAAACCTTCCATTTGGCCATGTACACCAGCATATTAGGGGGGTGGCCAAAGACCAGTCGCAACTGGTTGCAACCAGTCTTTTGACCAGTCCCTCCAATTTCCCCAACCCTGGAAGACTGCAACTGGACTGGGTAAGACCAGTCCTACTTTGACCAGTCCAGTCCAGTCTTTCCAAGGCCAGTCCCAGTTCAGTCCCAGTCTTTTTCCAGTCCATGGACTGGACTTTCAAACACTATACTTCCAGGCTGTCTACTAATGTGTTTATAAGGTATGTAGTACACAAGCCACCACTAGCTAGCCATCGAATATACCCATACCATACCCTCCTAGTCATTTTGTGTGCTGTACTACTTCCTAAGTTCCAATGAATTGGTGTTGACAGAACCACATACCGACTGCCTATCTATCAGTATGAGCTGTCTGCGGGATGAAAAATGTACCATTTACCAGTGCTAAAAGGGAATGCTAAACGGTTGACCTTTCGACCGGGCACTGGCTGAATCCGCGGACAGGTAATCCATATCAAAAAAGATCAGTATACCGGTTCTGTCGCACACGTTGACCACAGGATTAATACCGGTCAAAAAGGGACATGTGCGGGTCGAAAGTCAGACCGGTGCAATGAACCGTTGAACGTGCGAAAAACGACCATTGTCCGGACGAAACCCGTCCGTTATACGGTTGAATGAACGGTTTCGTTTCGACTGGTACTAAGCACCCAGTGGTATCTCATGGTATTTGAACCCGGGCTCCCGCAGAAGCACGTCGATACCGTCAGATGGGCTCCTAATGACAACAACGTGAGACGGTCCCAGTTGCATACGAGAGACAGACTGGATGACTATCCGTAAGGATTTAGAACCGACCGATCGTCTCTAAACGAGTTATAGCGGAGCTTGAATTGTGTTTAGAACGAGTTCTAAATCCGTAAGACGAGTTTAGAACTTACTGTCACGTCCTAAATCAAATACCATGACTCCTGGTATGCGTGCTCTCTCCGGGCTGGACAGCGATGATGAGCTCGAGGATGAAGAACGCCTCCGCCTCGGACTTGCCGCTGCACTCATTCTGGGTGCCCTCGACTCGCGACTTACTCGGGCGACAAACCACCGTCAAACCTACCTCACATGCCCTGAGCTCATGCCCGATCCACGAATCAACACTCCATGGCAGCGACTCTGGGAGAGCCAAAATGACCGCGCGTTCATCACGACAATGGGGATCGACGTCGAGACCTTCCACTACTTGCTGCACAATGGCTTCGCCGAAATATGGGCTACGACTGCCATACCCTGAACTGACACCAATCCGACTGGACGGCCACAACTTGGTCGCCGTTCACTCGACGCGGCGGGTGCGCTTGGCCTCTATCTCCATTACCTTAACTCGACCATGCTCGAGAAGACGTTGCAAGAGCTCTTTGCTCTTGTGACAGGGACGACAAACCAATATCTCAAGTTTGCACGGCTTGCTCTCTTGACGACGCTGCGGAACATCCCCGAAGGGAAGATCAAGTTTCTGTGCATACATGAGTTCCATGAGCTGTCGAAGCTTGTACAGGTGTGTGTGCTTGGTATACTGCCAAGACACTGTTAACAGGACTGCAGCGGCGCCATCCGTTGCTCAATGGTGCGTTCGGCGGCATCAATGGCTTGAATCTGGCGACGCAAGCCTCGGATGATCCAGCGATCGAGAACACGACCTATAATGGATGGCTGCACGATCATTTCACGAGCTGTGTGCTCGTATTCTCAGCCAAAGGTGAGCCTGCCTGTCTCAATTCTCAATTGTCGCTGACAGTGCACAGGGGTTATCATCTCGTGCAACCTCAACACACCCGGTAGCTGGCATGACGCGAAGGTCGCAAGGCCAATATACGAGCAACTGCGCGACAAGACCCCCAAGGGTTACTTCCTCATCGCGGACTCGGCATTCCCGCAGGGCGGCACAGAAGTTGCAGGTCAGATCCATTCCCCTCGGAAATCTGGCGCTGCGCTGCCTAGGGATCGGACCGAGCGCGCAGCAGCTATTGCATACAACAATCAGCTGTTGTCGTATCGGCAGACTGCTGAGTGGGGAATGCGGCAGCTGCAAGGCTCCTTCGGTCGCCTCCGCATCCCTTTAGATATCAATGACGATGAGGGGCGAGGAGACCTTCTGGAGAACTGCGTGCGAATGAATAATGTACGTGTTCAGCGTGTTGGGATAAGCCAGATACGCAATGTGTATGAACCCTTATGGCGAGCGTCGGAGGCTGCAGAGCTCTGGGAGTCATTTGAGCGGATGCTCATCAGGGACATTCGGCGCGGAGATCGTGTTGCACGTTTTCATGTAGTGGAGCAGTGACTCCTCGGTACATATTCACATGGGTATATTCAGTCTGATGGTCTAAGTATGGACATGAATGCGAGCCAGTCTATCAACACCGAAGTCCAGTACGAAGAAAGTCGCGACAAACAATGTGAAAAAGATCAAATATAAGGCTGTAGACTACGAGAAGTGAGGAGGGCATAGAGCGAGATGAGGAGGGCATAGTACGATCACGTATGTACAACTTGATGTCCGATGGCGAGTACTATTGTATCAGGGTATATGCAACTTACTGCAGATGGTCCGACTACGGCTTTTTGGTCAATGACATGCGACGTGCGATGCGGCGTCGGCGCGGTGTGACAGTCACCTCGTACAGGAGGTCACCTCCCTCAGGGCAGTTGTCCAGATCTGCCACAGCTGCTGCTGCGAGAGCATGAAGACCAGTGTCAATACCGGTGTCCGATGGCACTGGTACATGCGAGAACATACCACTGAGTGATGGGACACCACCATTCTCGGCCGAGGGAGCAGGGAGAAGCTCTGAGCTCCTACGACTCGGGTCGAGTGACACCTGACTCAGAGGTTCGTTCCGCGGACGCAAGGAGACGTAGGCGTCGCCCAATTGTTCTTGCGCAAGAGCTGCCAGCGCCGCGATCTGCGTGAGGTCTGGTGGCGGGGACTGCGGTCGGCGGCTGGACCAGTTGGAAGGGCCAGCGACCGCTTGTGGGGCGAGTGGCTCGGAGGCAGCGAGAACCTGGCTGGTTGACGACATGGCTTGATAGTTCGAAGCTGGGTAGAGGCTTTGGCCACCAGTGGAATCAAACAAGGAGAAAGAGGGGCCCAGGTACGTGTCGGAGGCTGCGGACGAACATGGCAAGCCGAACTGATCAGGATCCCGTCGTGTCGAAGGCTCCCACTGGCAGTCGTCACGGCGGCGCAGCTCCCATTTGCAGCGCTGGAGCTCGTGCTCAAGACGATCTGCGCGACGTGTCTGCTCTGCAAGTTGCTCGAGGAGGGTGTCTGTGCGGTGAGTTCGGCTCTGCATCTCACTGAGAAGCACCTGAAGGACGGTGTTCTCCGTCTGGCGAGCTGCCCGCGCCTCATCCCGTGCCGTCTGAGTCGTAGGATTGAATGCAGTAGCGATGTTATTGAGGAGGTTGTTCGAGATTCCAGACCGCGTAGGGCGACTCGCAAGTGGCCCAGACCCTGCACTGGTATGCGCTGTAGGCCCGGGTGTGCTGATAGAGGGACCAGGATGGGGGCGACGAGTCAGGGTGCTCGATGCGACTGTTGCACTGGCCTTGAGCTTTTTGCGCGGCGGCATGGCCACACTATCTGGATCTGGTTTGACCGCGGTTTCCTCTTCGTCAGTATCAAAAATCTCGATCACGTCGTGTTCATCGTCCTGCGCACTGCCAACACCATCAATCCCATTGTCGTCGTCGTCGAGTGGGCGGACATGGGCACGCTCATTGATCGTGTCCTCGATGATCCATGCTTCCTCGATTCACCACGGCACCTCAGCATTGCCAGTAGGCTTGGGAGTGCGGGCGAGCTGTTTGAATCAGGTAAGTCAAAACCAATTGCTCTCAACGGCGAGACTAAGCTCAACTCACCTGCTCGAACTTTGATCTAAGAGGCTTTACCTGACGCTCAGGGCAACCCTCCCTCAGTGCACGCTCGTTGTAGAGCGACCTCACTCGTGCCCACTCATCCGGTCCCAGCGGCAAGACATTGCGCACAGAGTCCATCATTGTGCGGTAGTCAGTCTCGGTATACGTCGTAGCACCTGGCTGGCGGCCACGCAGCCGCGGAGCAGGGGCTCCCTGTGGCGAGCGGCCACACTTGCGTGCGGAAGGTGCGGCCGGGCCCTTGGCTTTTGACGCAGGCTTTGATGGGAGGCCGCCCTTGGGTTTAGCTCGTGCCTTCGCGCTGGCAGGCTTTTGGCTGCGGCTCGGAGGCTTCGCGGCTGGTACACGCTGCGAAAGGATGTCTGAAACCTCGGGGAACTCGTCATCGTCACTGCGTGGCTCCTCCTTCACGTTGACAGTGGGCCTCTGTGGCGGTGGCGGATGGTACTGATTAGGCAGCTGGGCTGGCTGTCGGTGAGTGTAGTCACCGTGATGCGGCGTGCCAGTTGGTGCTGGTGGCTGGAAACCTGCTGGCGGATGCGCAGGTATAGGCTGGATTCCCTGGAAGCTATGGTAAGGCTCCGCCGCGGTGGTGGAATGATGGTGAGAGACGGTGTAGTAAGGAGTGGATGGGTTATGAAGTGAGGGGTAAGAAGCGGGGCTATACAACCCGTGAGGCTGAGGGTAAGTCGGTGTATGCATGTCATGCGACTCTGCGGTGGGATGGAGCACAGCAGGTCGGGCAGTGGGAGCCACAGCAGGCCTAGGTGGCTGGGGAGGCCAATATGGTATGCTCAGCTGCGACTCAGTGTATGCTGCAGCCATGGAACGTACCGTAGGAGGCCAATCTAGGCCTTCCAAAGGCGGGTCCTCAACGCGATCTGACTCGGAGTCCGACGTTGCCCGGGCTCTTTGCTTCCCCGCTGCTTTCTCTGACATTGGTAATCGACGTGCCATGGTATAGCAAGATAAATGAGTGACAAAGTTCAATTCACGAAGGAATGGAGTTTGGACAGAAATTGGGAAGGTTGAAAAAGATGGTATGATGTTGTTCTCACCCACTGTGCTGCAGTATATATACATTGACACCCAATGAACCCCTGGCCGTCTCTGCACGAAGGCAGTCCAAATCACGACTGTCTGGGCTTTGCAGAGTACAGTATGTCTCAGTCGAATTTGCACTTTTACGGCTGCTGAAACAACCTACCTGGTCCTAGACAACAGGAGGTCGCTCTCGTCGTGCCTCGTCGAGCTGTGGTAGCACTCCGTTTGAAGGCACCACATGCCATTTGCAGTCCAGGCTGTAGAATCCCACTGCGCTCGTCTCCCCATACATCGCCTGCAATAGCGCCCGCAGTGGCTAGACCAAATATGGAAGGATTTGATTGACTTTAGGAATCAGTGCGACACCAGCGCCGGGATTTAGCTCGGGGGGGTACCCCCCGAGCTAAATCCATGCCTTTAGGTCTGTTCCAGGTCTCTAAAGTTGTAAATCACCGCTACGCGGTCGGCAATATATTTTACAAATCTTGATCTGATTCATGCCGTGCAGCACACTCCGTACTATACCTTTTGCGATATCGGAGTGTGGACAAATTCAAACTCAACAGCTTTACAGTGGTCGATGCTCGTGTTTAGAATGGCTGATTTAGCGTTTAGAACCCTGAAACCACATCTAAAGCCTTACGGATAGTCATCCACTCGATGCAATCATCCGCGCGCCATTCTGCCAGTGCGTGCTCGCGACGATCATCAGATATAAATCCAGCATTCGTACACTTGATATTCCTGTGTGATAAATCTTCAACGACGACGGGCACCGTACATATTATCCTGCAGGTCGTACCCAGAGCGGGTTGTGTAGCATAAGTTGCGCGTAAGACTGCGAGATCATGTCTACTATGGCAGAGTTTGAAAGGTTCGTAACAGACATCAGCGCGCATCCAGCCTGTAGCCACCCATACTATCAATCGGAGAACAGGTCCACACTCGCAGCTTGTGTCACGCAGCATATATGCTTTCCTATAGCATACCTTCTGGACTCCAATGCACTTTTGTTCTGCTCTACGACACTGCTTGCCATTTCCGGAACTTCCGGATGACGTAATCTGCTGTGGCTGTACCAACTGTTCCCCATTGTTCATGCAGGCTTCATCGACTGGCCGCTATCTACGCGAAAATGCCCAGATCATCAATGTAGGCCTATCTCGCAGCCAAGTACAAGGCTAACACGGTTCTCTCGCACTCATTCGAACCCAAGAGGGCCCTTCCGAGCATTCGCGCCAGCGAGTGGTTCGCGTGCCTACCTCGCTCGTCTCTACGCCTCGACGATCGCGCCTCAAGGTCCCCAACCGCTTCCATTCACCGCCTGCGAGCCACATTCACCACATGCCCGGTCCGCGCCGTGCGAGCGCCCGACACTGAGCCTCTCGGTCTTCGCATCGACCCCGCTCGTCTGGCGACTCAGCCACTGGACCGCTCAAGGCACCACACTCGCGCGGGCGACCCTCATAATTTGTACCGAACTGTGAGACCACGGGGCGCTCGATACTAGCAGCCGCTCCGCCCTTGTCAAGTCAAGGCTAGAGGTCGAGCAACTGCGCGCGCGTCCTCTGCGCGATGGCAAGACCAACGTGTCAATACCTGCGCCAAGGCTCCGGCAGGAGCTCTCACCCGCTGCGTGGACAATGAACGTGCAGCGCATCTGCAAGCCCGACGACCAGGTCCCACCGACTCGTGCAAGAGCAAGCGCAGAGGTCCCGCTAGCTCTGTGGACGAACGGCGCGTCTAGCGCCTGCAAGATAGCCCTGCAAAACACGTCGATGCCCACAACTAGGCACCTAGGGGATGCGCCAACCAGTGTGTGGGCGAGCCAACGCGAAGGGACGAGCAGGGAGGTTGACGGACAGAAGAACAGCTGTAGTCACACCGACTCTGGTGAGTACTACTACAGTCCAATCTCCTCGCCCCCGCACTCGCGTTACGCACCCTCGTCCTTGCTCGACGCGCATCCCTCCCCTCTCGACGCGCCTACGTCTCCGCCACGCGCCCACTCGCCCATGTCTTTGTCACCCTCTTCGCGCCTCTGCTCCCTGACCGCCCTCGAAGCCATTCGCGCGGCAGGCCACCGGGTTGTGCGGAACTACTACGCGCCCGGTAACGACTCACACAGCCTCTCCTACTGCGCTTCACAGCCCTGGAGCTCCATGCACTCTGCCGGTACCCCGTCGTCTCCTTTGTATTTGCGCGCTCTAGGACCCTTGGACTCCCTTACGCTGATAGCTCGCAAGTTGAGTACGAAGCTGGATACCGCTGCGCGCTTCGTTGCCTACCCGCAGCCGCCAGCTCCCGGTGCGAAGACCATGGAGTCCGCGCATTATCTGCTCGCGAGTTAGCCGAGACACCCGTCCCAGTGCGCAACGAGGCACGCGCAGAGGCTGCCCCGCCACTCGCTAAGACGAGTAGCTACGAACGATCAAGCCGAGTACGGCCTGGGAGGTCAGCAGAGAGGAGAGAGGGGTCGAGGCAACCCCGGCGAGTGCCCCGCCTGTCAATTCTCGCCATCAGCTCCTCCATCTCCACACCCGATACTCCCGCCTCTGCTCAATGAGTCTGCACCCTCCTGCTATACTGGATCACAGATTAGGAAGTACATTAGTGTACCAAGTTAATCTGACCTGAGGTACTTCTAAGTACCCTTGTTAATCCACTTTGACTGACAAAGATGCCTGTAGCTGGTGGAGAACTTCGTGTACTACTTTGTGATGTTTGTCCAAGTCCATACTGTATATTAGGATGTCGTCTAGATATACAGCTACTTTTCTGGCGGCAATGAGATTGACAAAGATGGAATTCATGAGCATCTGGAATGTTGCTGGGGAATTGGTGAGGCCAAAAAACATGATGTTCAGCTTGAACAGTCCGCAGTTGGTTACAAACACTGCTTTCCATTCATCACCCTCTGTGATACGGATATTGTTGTATCCCCAGCAGACATTGAACTTTGTGAAGTACTTGGCTTGGCGTAGCCGATTGACTATGTCGGTAGCAAGTGGGAGCGGGTATCGGTTCTTGATAGTGACATTGTTTAGCTTACAATAGTCCTGAACCATCTGAAATTTGCTGTCCTTCTTTTTGACGAAGAAGACAGGTGAAGCGATCAGTGACTTGGAAGGCATGATGTAGCCTTTCCGGAGGTTCTCTTCTAAGAATTTGTCTAGTTCTGCTTGCTCGTTAACTGGCATTGGATACACTTTCGACTGTAGCGTCTCAGGCACATCTGGCTTTAGGTTGATTGTGTGATCCCACAGCTTGTGCTCGGGAAGACGTTCTGAGTCTGCATCAGGAAATCATGCAAACTGTCTGAGGGCCATCTCAGGGGCTTCAGAAGGCTTCAGAAGGCTTCAGATTGCCTCAGATTGTTTCAGAATATCAGCCCTCATGACCTCGAGTTTTTTTGATGCTAACTCGTCAGACAACATCCTCAGAACACTCAGACTGCCTGTCAGACAACTCAGCTTGTCAGCGCAATCAGCCAGGACGTAAGAAATCAATTAAATCATATATATTGTCATTGATCACTACTGCTGTACATGAGAATGCTAGCTAATTGCTATGTATCGCATGCTTGTGCGAGCTACCAGTGTCCGCACATGCGTGGGGCTCGCTCCCGCTTGGTGTGTTCGTACTCGGTGGCCTGGGCTGGAGTGCGGCACACTTGTCCTTGACGGGCCTATGCGTGTCGGGCCGGGACATGCCATGTTGTTGCTCGGTGGGCCCTTGCATGCCGCGTTGGATGCAACTGTTGCTCATTGCGGTCCTGCTCGTGGAACTGCGTCGTGCTGGGCTTGGGCACATTGTTAACTCGTATTGGCGTGCGGCAAACTGATTCTCGTACCAATGGGTGTCAGGACGTGATGCGTATCCGTAGGCGGATGGCTCTTGCGAGTGGGTCCGTGCGCGGTATGTTGAGGCTCGTCAGGCTGGTTTCCACTAGCGGGCCTGCAACGCACTCGTCTTCACCGTGTTCCTGCTTGTGCCCGTTGAGCACGTGCACACTGAGGTTGTCACCGTTGTGGTCGTCGTATGAGCTGTCACACGATACCGCCCGTGCGTGTTGCGCAATGACAGGGTGCCTTAGGATGCTTGTTCATTGCACTGTCCTGCTTGTTGGGCTGGGTCCCGCCAGGCTTGGGTTTGTTGTATATCTGATGTGCGTCGGATTGGCTCTTGTCATACCCGGTGCGTGACACATTGCGTCCATGAGCGGCTGACTCTTGCTGGCTGCTCGCATGCACGGCATGTTGAGGCTCAACCAGTGCATGCATACCGGGCTCTCGCTAGTGAGCTGATGCTACTTGACACGCATACGCCAGGGCCGTCTCCACTGGACTTGTACTCGTCATGCGCGCGCACACCATGAACAGTCTTCAATCGAGCCCATCCTTGGCTTACTGATGTTGTCTGCAGGTCGAGGTGTTAGGTGCGTGCACACTCACCTGGGACGCCAGCCTGGCCAGCCACGGTCTCCTTCCCTCCAAGTCCAGAAGGCCTTTCTTTGCGAATCTCCAGCGATGCCCCTGATCACGCTGTCGTTGGAGCTCGTTACAACCGAGTATCCCGCAGTTTTGGGGTGCGGCAAGCCGATGCATGGAGAGGCAACAGTGAGGTAGAGGAGGGGCTACAAGGGGAAGAGCTGAGAGCGACTCGGACTTGGTGACTCACACGAGCAAGTGCACGTGTCTTGGGCGCTTAGCACTGGTCGTGAGTGTGGCCTCCACGTCAACATCGACTCTGCGTCGACTCAACTTCATGCAACACTGCTTGGCGGCCTCAAAACACACGCAAAATGTGACGGGGAAGCGAGGACAACACGGAACAGGGGCTGGCTGGCTATGTACGGGATAGTACGTACGGGTGAGTGCAACATCCGCATTCTAGATATCCCTGCCTGCCTGCTCTTTCGCGAATTGCCTGCCTGCTCTTTCGCCCTCTCCCGCCCTCTTGCGCATCAGCCCGCTCGCGCACCCACCCACTCGCCTGCCCACCCACTAACACTACCTCTCGCCAATGTTCCCTTTCGCCCACGCATTCTCTCTGACCGGCAACTCCACCTGCCCGCGCCTGGCCATCTGTTCGCCCACTTGTCCCGACCCCGACTGTCTTGCCTGCCCTCCCGTTCACCCGTGGACCTACCACTCGCGCAGCACCACCTGCCAGGTGCAGGGCGAGTCGACCTTGACGAACGGATCACCCAATTCCATGCACGGTGAGTACCTCGCGACTCTTTCATGGATGTGGCATTGGCACACGAGCGGGCGCCTGGCGAGGACGGGCACGTGGCTGGCGGGGACGGGCAACACTACGGGTGTAGGCACGGTGCACATTGTCGCCGTGAGCACGCAGGGGAAAGACCCGGCACGGAAGCACGACCAACGAGCGGACCATGCATGGACGAGGGCACACGGACGGTGGGCTCGCTAAGTGCACAGGCATGATACGCACGGCGGCGGCAAGCACGCAGGGCAAGCCGATGAGCGAGATCACAATGACCATTGTCAAGCTCACGACGACGACAAACACCAGCCAGCCCGTCGTGACCGACGAGCCACTCATGCTCGCAAGTCTCGAGCTCGCACGGTCGCCTCCCTCCACACCTGGCTCCGGGATCGCTACAAGTGGGATGACCCCATATGTTCGACGAGGACACCACCACGCAGGACCTCATACGAGATATTGTCGCTGCGCGCGAGGAGGCCAGTCCAACTAGGGAGCTTCAAGACTGCCGCAGGTTCATGACGAGCCCCTCTATCTAGGTATCTGACACCAGAGGCACCATCCGCACCGTCCATGCTGCCATGCCTCGCATGAACACCACCACCCTTGAGGCGTTCCGTGAGTTGCACTGCCTGCTGCTGACACACCGGCAATGAACCTGTCTTCCGGAGCGCGGCTACGAGACGCCCTCCCGTAGCGCGCCCCATGACTGTCACAGCCAGCAAGTATCTCAATGGGGAAGCGACAGTCGATATTGGCATAGCACCGTACAAGTCCTGGACTGGCGAGCGGTCTTGCAGTGCGTTTCACGCGTGTTCTCCTTGTAATGCTCGCTCACCCGTCCATAGCCACGCAGATCTTTGGTGTGCTGGGTCTTGCTGCGCTGGTGTCCACTCTCTCGCCAACGATGAACAACACAATCAGCCCCGCACACGACTACAAGCCAAAATGGTGAGCACACATGGGTGGCGGCGAGTGGGCAAGTGGCACATAGCTCAGTGATGCGCAGGGGCCATATCGAGTGTGTGTAGGTGTGTGCATGCATATGTGCAGGTGCACGAAATTGTACTCTCTGTAGTGCTAGTTTTGTACAATGTATTCTAGTAGATCATAATGAATGGGAGTTCTTCGGATCATATACAATTGTGTATACGGGTGTCGAAGTGTGACTTGGATGTAACAGTCTTGCAATCCTGTTGGTTCATTTGACCAACTGACGAGCCTGACACACTCTGAAAATCCTGAGCTATCTGGCACTCTGACAGGTCACTGTCAGCCCGGCAGATGCTCAGGAATTGCCGAATTTGCTGATGTGCCTCCAAGAAGACTTTGGCGAAGTCTCGATAGTGCTCTGGCACCATCTCCTTGAAGGTCTTCTTGGACTTCTGCTGATTTGCTTGGGCTGCCAGTGTGGTTGAATATGTTACACCTGTGCAGCACCAGAGCTCATCGGCCCAGTCATCTATAACTCTATGCTTCTTCCACTTGTGCTGGAGTTTCCTCGTCCTGGTGATCTTCTGAAAGGGGGGATCATCATTCTCAGACAAGACCAGCTCCTGCGGTTCCTCGTCGAACATGACTGTACCCTCCTTCCAGTTGATGCTAGGATTCACCTCTCTCAGCCACGGGATACCCAGTATCATATCTTCCTTGTTCAGATTCATAACTAAAAAATTGCACACCTCATCAAAGCTACCTATTTGTAATCTAAGACAAGCATAGTGAGTGATGCTACCAGCTTTGTTCTTACTGCCATCAATGTTATACAAAATGATCAGATGCTTCATAGGAATGGTAGTTACATGATTTTCTAATACAAAACAAGAGGAAATGAACAACCCCGTAGCGCCTGAGTCAATCATGGCAGCTATTTGCTTTTCTTGATGTTTTCCAGAGATCAATACATCAATACATAAATGTACATCTCGAAGCTCTGATTCTGGTATAGTACAACTAGCTATGCAAATAGAACCGAAGAAACACCAATACCTGTCCCACAACCACAATGCTGCTGCCACAGTAGCATGTGGTCAATCTAAAAAGCCTTCTTGAGGGCTTCAATCTGTGCCACGAGCTCAGCCTGCTACTTGAGCATCACACTCATGATGTCAGCCATCTGTGAGGTGGCCGCTACCGTCTTCTCCTTGCTTGTCGACAAGGAAGTTTCCGGAGAGAAGATCTCCTCTGCTTCCTTGTCCATAGAGGACATCAAAGACGTTGCAGCTGCAGTTAGTGCATTGCAGGGGTACGCCCGACCCACGCAGGTTGTGGGTAGGGGTACTCGCGGGTAGTGATCTCCGTACCCGCATACCCACCCTGCAGCCATGCGGGTATTGCCAAAAGAGGCAAGCCTGTGAGCACCCAAGCTCACGGGGATGCCCCAGTTCCCCAGGCCTGCCCCTCCCTTCCAGCAGGTCGACTCACGCATGGCTGCAGGCGCAGCAACACCGTGCCCATGCGCACAACGAGCACCCATGGAAAAGGCCCCGCGCGCAAACCCGGCTGATGAATGCACCACAGGCCTGGCCGCAGCGATGAGCAGACAGCAGGTGTGGACGGTGGATGGATGGCAGGCACGACATCAAGCGGACGGCGGGGAAGGGTGAATGGGCAGCGGAGATGGGCGAGGGCGAGGTCGAGAGCCAGGTGAGTCCTGCCACATGCGAGTGGGCTCACTGACAGCAAGCACAGCACATGGTGACATGCAGCGTGATGTGCACAACAACCACGAACATGCAGGGCCAATGCCCTGCATGTAGGCACAGCTGACGAACAAGCGGTGGGCGGGCGGCAACACGTCAACCACAAGCGCACTGGGCAACTGCCCAGCACACAAACACGACCGACAAACACACGCAAAGCGAGCCGGCAGGCGTGCGACCTGGGTGACAGAAGAGCAGGCACGGACAGGAAACCGGACAGTCATGCAAGCGAGTGGAGGGCAGGAGAGCAGGTGGACGAGTAGGTGGGTAAACGGGTGGGTGAGGAGGTGGGGTGGGAGGATGGGCAGGTGAGCAGGTGGACGTACAGACAAATGGGTGGGCGAGCAAGTGGGAGCGTGGACAAGCAGGAGGGCGGGCACAGGGTTGTTGAAGTGAAAGAGATTTAGAAGGGCTGTAAAGCCAGTGGAAGTGAAGGACTAGTAGATGGAGTGAACAGACCTATCCCAGAGGGAGGACTCTGATGCTAGGCAGGCAGAAGAGAGGAGAGATTGTTATCCATTAGGGGGGAATCATCCCAGTATGTATACATGTCTGGGACTGATCACATGCTACATCAGTAAGCAGATCAGTAATCACTAAGTCCGAGTTTTAGGGAAATGAGTAAGCCTTAACTCCAGAGATAGGGATATGCATAAGTGTCCATGTGATCAAGGAATGTACTGGAAGGTCATGGAACATGCCGGAAGGGAGTGGAATGATCCAGAATAAGTCTGGAACAGTGTAGATCGGTCTGGAGCGAGTCACAAGATGAGTCCAGACAGAGTCCATCAAAAGAATGTATGTAATACTACATCGCAGAACACAAGTCCATATATGTACGTAACTGATAAGATAAGATAACACTGGAAAGTCGGAAGTTCAACAGACACCCCGCTCGACCTGCTAGACGTGCTTAGCAGTGTCCTCGAACCATCCTCTACCGCCGCAAGAACGATCGAACAGCCTAAAACCCAAGTTTAAGGGTTAGGTTGTGAGCTAGTGCTCAGGGTGTCATGCTTCGCGTAACATAAGGTCGAACTGATCTTTACGCTCCGTCTGCTTAGACGCAGAGCATACCCATCCCCACCCACTACCTCCCTGGAGCCCATCACATTGGGGCTCCACAGACACCACGGACTACCGAGTACAGGTCGAGCCCAGACGTCACGGGCTACCGGACCTAGTGAACCTCTATTGGAATGACAACCTCCAAGTCTTCGAGTACAAGCAAACTGAAGATGGAGTAGACACCTACGCCAGTGTCCTCGTTCGAACCCCAGAAGGAGAAGGAAAGAAACCCGGGTGGTCATTCCTCCCTACCGACGTCTCCACTGCAGACAACCAGAAATTGACACAGACCTTCCTTGACGCCAACACCTGGATTTGACCTCATTCATTCTGAATATCTTCTGAATATTCCGCTTTTTTCAAGTCTATACAAGCCCTCTTGACACAGTAACAGTCTGCACTGACACCGCTTACTAAGCGCTCATTAAGCGCCCATTGCCGAAGCGGACTTGTTGTTGAAGTGGGACCGTGACGCGCGCACTTGTGATGACACAGACACGTGACTGACAGATGGACTGTAACGGATGCACGTAGACTACAGCTACCTCAGTTGAGTACCACGAGGACACGACTGAGGTAAGCTTGTTTTGACTGTATTTCTGGACTGCTGAGCTGATGCTGTATTCCTAGACATTGTAACTTGAACAGGTACAGTAGTAATATGAGTCGAGTACCACGAGGACGTGACTGAGACATTGTAACTTTAACACTTGTATACAATTGCAGCCCTGCATTTGTCTGCAACTCAGCTCACCCAAAAGGGATTTTGGAGCAATGTCATTGGTTGAACCACTGGCAAACCTTGCCTTCTAAGGGAATCATTGAATCTCAGCTCCCCATGCCGAGTTTTTTCATGCCCAATGTGGTCAGCAGCACTGTCTAGACTCTTACTAGAGCACATTAAATGTGGAGAAATCTCGGAATATTGACTTTCATGCAATGCTCCTTGCACACAGGTATGGAGGTCCAAATTAGGTATCCCAGTGCTTGTTCACAGTGTACTGACCATGGCAAGTGATGCAGAGGCATATGTACAAATGTTGTTTTGCATTTACTGCCCTTACTGGAGAGTCCTACAGGCTGACAATCTTATGCAGGGGTCTATGGTTATGTAACGGGATGTTACCGTATGGACGTGTGTAATCCCGTTATGGACTTATTGGATCGATATGCTTGTATGTATATACGTTTGCATGTGTTTGGCGTCGTACCTTTATAGGTCGTCGCCCGGCGAGTTGAAGGACAAGTCCTTTAACTCGTCGTCCTCCGGATACATCGCACTTCTCAATGGAGATTGGTGCACTGTATCTGCGGGATTGAGTAAGGCAACGTTACACTTTTTTACAGTCCTTCGATAACTTGAACTTCCACTCGGAAGGGCGCTCTATCAGGGAACTGCACGCTACGTAACAACCCCCATCACAACATTCATCATTACAAAACCTAAATCGCAACAACCGCGTGATAGTCGCGGACACTTTCTACCAAGAAAGAAAATGGCGGACCAAGCACCTGAGTCCCCCTCTCCAAAAGGAGCTAACTCGCCCGTGGATCCACCCCAATTGGGTGGATCACCGAAGCGAGGTGAACAACCTTATACGTCGAGAGTATCGCCGAGAGGAGCTCGCGTGTTTAGTGACGAACGATTGGTTGCGTCACCAGACAGCGGAGCCAGACCTCATTCAGCGAGGATATCTCCGGCACGTCCGGAAGGAAGCGGACGTGTCCGAACGCCCGAGGAAAAGAAGTCGAGCAACGCCAGTAAATCTGCACGCTCGACGTCAGCCAAACCGAAGGGTTCGCCTGGGTCCCGTCGCGGGACTCAGTCGGGCGCATCGGCGATGATCCTGGCGATTCGAGGCCATGCTAAGAGACTCGGAGCAGCCAACACGGAGGCTATCGAGGCTCTTCAGCGTGAGTCCGAGGCCAAGTTCATCCAGCTAAGAAGGGATCTCAACGCGGGAGTTGAAGATTTCATGAACGAAATGGTCAACTACGTCGAGGCAAGAATCCCGAACAAGCCAGGAGGAGAATCGGGAACGGAGGCCGACAACGAGACAGACGAACCAAGTTCGTCGCCTCGGAAGTCGAGTCCACCCATGAGCAAAGGCAAGGAGCGTGAAAGGCCGGAACGAGCAGAAAGCATGTTCGGCGGATGGGGGAAGGCTAGGCCTACGACTGTTGAAACTGAAGACGAGTCATCGAATGATATACCGACGCAGCGACCGCCGCCAAGGACGCCCCCAGCGGCGACCTCGACACCGGCGCGGCCGGATATCAACGCGGATCCCAACATGAGTTTCGCAGCAGCAAACTTGGTCCTCCCCAAGGGAAGGAACGAGTCGGACGCGGAATTCGCGAGGCGAATGGCAGCCGCGGAACGGCTAGCCAGTACCCTAGGAGGCACTGCCCAAGCAGTACCCCCAACCCCGGGTCCCGTACCAACGGAACCACGGAAACCGAGACCTGGTGAACCGGGATTCACTAGGTCTCCATACCGTACATCGGGGCCGGGGTACGCGTTCTTCCAGACGAAGGACGGACCTGTACCATCAAAGGATCCGCCCCCTCACATGCCGGGTCCCGCACCTCCACCGAGAACCGGCGGCGGTGCAACAAGGACCGAGAACGACGGTTATAGGTACACAGCAAGTGGGGTACCTATACCGCCAGTTCCCCCGAAACCGAACGTTGTGTTCGAACCAGGAGTTGGAGGCTCAAGCGCTTCTAACTCCGGGAACGACCCAACCAAGGCGAAAGAAGGCGGGGTTGGCTATGGGAGATTCCAGGCGTACTCATACATGGGTACGAGCCGGGACCCTCAGAGCGTAAGCACCGCCCCAGCACGCACGCGAACTGCGTTAGACCCCTTGGCAAGGTCGAGGGAGAAGTGCTGGAAC